CAATCATAACTGGAAATTCACCTAACTAATATTGAGCTAGGATTTATGACTGCTCAAAGTTCACCAAAAACTCATTTTTTTTCCATACTGAACCAAATTTCCAGATTTTTAATTCTTTCCAAAAATGACTATTTCAAATTTCCAGCTTCTTCATAGTTATTTCAAATTGCCGGATGTTACACTTCTTGATAAAGGTTTCATACATCCTAGTGCTTCTTTGTGAGGTGCTCCTGTCTTGTTTGTTAAGAAGAAGGATGGTAGTATGAGGAATGGTGAATTTATCTTAAGCCATAAAGGAGTGGATTGATACCAGAATGACAAGCTTATGGATAAATAAGTCCCATTAAGTATACTTGGGTGAAGAAAATTGAAGATTTTTCTAAGAAAGTGCGTATAAAATTGGGTTAGTCCTTTGAATTTGATGAGTATACCTGAGTTTGAGGTGTCATGTCGATGAAAAGGTTGACTTCGTAGTAATTGTCAGGGCTAACTGAGCATAATGGTAATAAGAGTTCATGATGGATTGTGATGGGATGGAACTATATAATAAGATTATTGGTTAAGCAAATTTTGTATAGTAATTACGACTTTTGAGTATCTAAGGTTGCGATTTTCTAATATTTGGTGAGTAACGTGGTTGTATGGAAAGTTTAAAGAGATGGTGGGATACCACTTGAATTGAATTTAAAAAAGCTAGAGTCGTAAAAAAATGTGGGATGTAGTACAACCTTTAGAGAGAGGCGAGTGCAAGAATATTTTTATTTGATTGCAAAGGCTAAAGTTGGTATCAGATGTCTAAAGATCAAATTTTTATAACTTAAGTCAATGGGAATTTATGTTGTGGGATGGAGATGTGGTTAAGAACTATGATTGTTTGGGTATTATGAGTGTGTGTTGGTTGGTTCAGGTTCACTTCTAATTGTAGTGAGTATTGATTTGGAATTTTATCATGCTTATATGAGAAATGATTCGTCCCGATGATTGTGTCAAGGCCCTTGATAACATGTTGCACACGTATGTACGATAAACTTTGGTGGTAATTGGGAAACACTTTTGTTGTTAGTTAAGCTTACATACAACCATATTTATTACTCGAGTATTGAGATGACTTCATTGAGGCATTGTATGGAAGGGTGTGTAGGTATTCAATTGGTTGGTTTGAGGCTGGAGATGTGAAACCCTTAGGGGTTGATTTGGTGAAAGGTGCTCAAGATAAGGTGAGAAACATCCAAGGCAAGCTTCTAGCAATCCAGAGTCAACAAAAATAATATGCAGACCATAAGGTAAGGGACATGACATTCCACGCTGGTGAGCAAGTCCTTCTAAAAAGTGTCACCCATAAAGGGGCTGATGAGATTCGGTAAGAAGGGCAACCTTAGTCCTCGATACATCGGGACATTTGAGATTCTTGACTGTGTAGGGCCTGTGGCTTATAGATTGGCTTTACCGTGTAGTTTATCTGGAGTCCATCCAGTGTTCAATGTGTGCATGTTGAAGAAATATTATGAGGACCAAGGAGATAAAGTCCGTGGAAGTTCAATGGAAACATCCTCCAATTGAGAAAACTACTTATGAAACCAAGAAGGACATGCGATACAAGTATCCCAGCAATTCGACGATTCAGATACTACTCTACTTTTGCCTTTACCAGTTCTCCTAGTTAATCACTCGGGGACGAGTGATGGATAAATTGGTATCTATTGTAACGACATGTTTCCGTCGTTATGGAAAAGCCAATGAGGAAATAATTTGGGCCAGAAAACTTTTGAGTAGTGACTTGGAAATTTCTAGCCTAGGCCAGACTTGGATGAAATCTGAGTCAGGTGAGGTCTAGGGAAATTTGGTAATAGACGGGAGGTTTGATTATGAATTTGATCACATGACTGTATAGCCAAGAAGTTAAGGAGCCTATACGGCTTTACGAAATCAAATTCGGATGAGTAGAACTCCCGAAACTGATCTTGGTATAGAAGGGTAACTTTTAAACGTCCAGGTTTGAAGGTGTGTTGTGAAATGGGAGCTTGAAACTCAAATTCCGAGCTTCTGTCTCCGTGCAAGCCGCTAGAGTGGGGCCGTTGTGGCGGGTTGGGTCCCGCTGTGGCGTGACAGTCGTGAGTTAAGTCGGGCAAGAACCCCAAAATCATTATTTTCTGTAAAACTTCGTTTTTGAGAGCTAAGAGGCGAACTAGAGCAGTTCTTAACAGTTTTCCACGATTTTTAGCGCTAAAGGTAAGATATATAATTACTCCCCTAATCCATTATTCAATTCTTAGAACTTAGAAACTTGAGTAATTATCATTGGGGAGGGTTTTGGCCTGAAATTGATAGTGGAAAAATCTCTAATTGAGTATTGGGATCTTGGGTTTGACCTAGGATTGATAGTTTGATTATTATCCGATTAATTAGGTCTTGTTTATTGATTCTTGAATTACTTAACTGTTGTTAGACCAAGAACAAGCGGGAAAAATCCGGAAAGGGAAGACTCAAGTGTCTTAGGAGGATTCAAGCTTGGTTTCGAGGTAGATGATGGTTTGATTTCCTGTTTGTGTGATATATGTCGTTTAATTGCTTCATTGTATGCATGTGTGTATGTAAATAAGGGAATGCGAATCAAATCTAATGCAAATGAGTATATATGAACAATTACATGCCATGAAACCAATACTTGATTGTATGACTATGATCGTTGTTCATTATGGGTGTGATTGTGGTTGTGTTGATTGGATCAGGTGTCACGTTTCGACACATAGATTGGATGGAGTGTCATGTTCTAATACATATATTGAATCGGGTTTCACATTTCGACACATATATTGGATCGAGTGTCACGTTCCGAGACATGTATATATATTGAATCGGGTGTCACATTCCGACACACTAATAGTTTGGGTGTGGGTTCCATGAGAGGACCACTGTGATGATTACATTTATGTCTACTTGTCGTTGATATTGGGAACTGTATGTTACTCCTGAAATGATAATGGATCTATGTATTATGTATATGTGTGTTTACTGTGTTGTAATTGCTTGCCTATGTTTCGCTTATTGGGATGGCCACTTTATCCTACCAGTACACTGTGGTTGTGTACTGATACTGCACTTGCTCGTTCTTTGTTGAGTACAGGGCATCTGCAGGCGGCTACTGATAGACCTCAGCTAGCTGATCATTAATTGAAGACCAGATTCAAGGGTGAGCCAGTTCTTCCAGGCTGCCATGGATCCTTCCTTGTTTAGTCCACTCTTTTCAGACTCAGACTGTTTAGTTAGACTTTGCTTATGTTAGTTTAGGGGTTGCACCCCTTTTCCTTGGATTTTTTGGTTTACAGAGTTTTGGTACAATGACTTTCAGGTTCTAGGGGTTGAATTTCCGCAATAGTTATGTTAGTTGATTTATTAAAATTTCGTAGTTTATGGGAACTCCATATTTTAGTAGTCATTTAAACCAGCTTCCGTATCATTAAATGTTCTAGTTTTCGTTAAGTTACTTAGTTGGGTTGTAGTAATGGTTCTCCCACCGGAAGGTTAGTGTGGGTGTCAATCATAACGATCTAGATCGTGACAATATATCCCTATCACTACTATTTTTTGTGCTGAAGCAATAGCCATAGAAGATGGATTGCCTATTGTGTGAGCTATCATCTAATGCTTTGACTATATAAACTCATTCATTACATTAATTAATTTTAAGTGGGTATCTCTACCATCTTATAGTTAAGCAATGTCAATATGTCTAGACTCTAGACTATAAATTTCATATTTTCTTTGCCAATACATAATTAGGTGTGTGCATGTAATTAAACCCAATTATTACAGAAAGAGACTCTTGGTTATATCTAGTACCCAATAAGCTACTTTTATATTAAGAAGGTATTAGGTTAAGTTTCTAAGTGGTTCAAACTAGTTCATAAGCATATTTTTTTAAGCTTATCATATAGTTGACAAATACTAAAAGTGCTTATAATCTGAAATCAACCATGTTTGGCTCGCGCTGATCCAAAAAATAGAAGGAGCTTTTATTTTTATTTATCAATATCCATCTACTCAGGCTTTCACCCAAACAACAGTTCTGAACGAAATTAGAAATTACACATCCACTCTTTTTATTTTCACTACATATATATAGTAGACATTTCAAAGCACACTCATTAACCACACCACATAATATTATTTCAAGTACATATATTTATGTATCACTTGATGTGGTAACTCTCAATATCTTTAGTGATATTGAGACACAATTCCATGAAAGTGTGTGGATCTGGCACATTTGCATTCTTCTTTTCATATTCCAAGATCCACGTAACTAAGTTGTTTTCACCCTTTGTCTCAACATGAATAGTGAGGTAAAATGATTTGTAATACTCTAACATATCTCCTTCAATCATCTTTTTTTTAACGAACTTCTTTTCTTCATCTATTTCTTCAATAACTTCCTTTGCCACCATCTCTTTCCCATCTGCAAACAAATATATATACTAAAAAATTCATAGATTATTTGTTTATCATGTTCTCCTGTCACTACTAGCATCGTACTTTAGCGGTAGCCATAATTTTACTGTTCCTATAAGCGTTCTTTCTATATATCCTGGTGTCTCTATTATTACTATTTTGTTATCTATTAATTATTTTGATATATATCCTATCCATAATTGAATTGTTTTATTTATATCTGCTACACAGTCTAAATCTAAAAAATCATCTCGTTTAGTTATTTCTGATATTTGTTTTTTCTTTGGATATTTAGGTAATTTTGCAATCTCTAGCTAGTGTATAATATCTGTTGTAATATCCCTCTATTATTATCTTTGCAAGTATGTATATTTTCATATTTTTATCATACTAAAGTCCTGGATCCAATTCATGAATTGATTAGTTTGAGCTATATAATGTGTTATTTATTAGTTTGAGTTAGATATATATAAATTTTTTTAAGAGCTATATAATGCGACGAAAATCTATATAAGTGGAGCCAACAATAAATATTGAAACCAAATATAATACGGATTTACCATGGGTGAATTTCCATAACCTAACAGAGTCAATAGTGCCCAATTCACCTTCACGAATATCCACTTTTTGTATCTTATCAGGGCATATGTTGCACATATGATGTGGTTTGTACATAATTATTTCATGGAACACATCTCCATCACACTTGATGTTTATCTCAGAAACCAATTTACCTTCAAGACTCATTTTTCTTTAAGTTTATAATAACAATTGTGTGGTTCATCATTAGCCAACGAGAAGGGGGGCTTCACCTGATCACTCTGAATCCGCTCATCAGGAAGAGAGAAAGGAAGAGGTTTTTTCTTTAGATAAAGCGGATGGAAAGAGATTGATACTTATACTGATATCGAGCTGGAAGAGCACTGGATAGAGACTATAGGGTCTCATCCCTGCTTCAACCAAGAGATAGGGAGACAGCATCGTAGCATGAAATGAGCCAATGCCAAGTGCTCATGATGAGTAGCTCTGCCTTTATATAGTTACACAGTGTCAATATGTGTTAGACTCTAGACTGTAAATTTGGTATTTAGTTTTTTGCCTATACATAATTAGGTGTGTGCACGTAACTAACTACACACAATTATTACATAAAAAGACTCTTGGTTATAGGTAGTACCCAGTAATCTACTTTTATATTAAGAAGGTATTAAGTTAAATTTCTTAGTGGTTCAGACTTGTTCATAAGCATATTTTTAAAGCTTATCATATAGTTGGCAAACACTTATAATTCTCAAGTGCTTATAATCCGAAATCAACCATAAGTTGGTCATTTTAAATTTATGATTTTACAGCTTATAAGCACTTTTAATTTGACTAATCACTTTACAATTAACCTTTTCTATTTTTTTTGTACTCCCTAAAATGTTCTTCCTAGAACATAACTTTGAATTATCCCTTTATTTTATTTCCTTCATTTGTTCTTTTTATGTGTAACTACTTTTAAATTATTTTTAAAAAATAGATTTAACGACATTAATTCAGTCATTATTTTAGAAAAAAAAGTTTATCAACATTATTTTACCAAACACATTATTTGTTTATTATCAATTTTAGCACCCTACGCGTAACCACTTGTTTATAAAGAAATGATGCCTACCCCCAACCCCACCCCCCACCCCAACCAAACTCTATATCTCTTTTGCAAATTTTATGTCGAGATTAATTACAGACATGTTGTTTTAGAATTGGAGAGGGACCTTGTGCATGCCAAAAAATTGGCAGATTAAATTAGGACTATTATTGTTGAGAAGATGAACTAACTGACATTTTTTTTAACCAACCACCAACCAAATTAGTTTTATTCCTCTTTTCATTTTTGCACAACTAATTACATCTATATAATAACGTGTTCAAACTGAAGTATAAGTCATATGAATTAAAGTATTTTTTACCTTCAGCAATGACTTTTCACCACAATCCATCTTTTTTCTTGTTATTATACTCATCACTTTTTGTCATTAGCAAGCAACTATGTAATTCAAACAGAAGCACGACATCTTCTTTAAATAACTCTGCCCGAGCTTCCTAAGCCTAAATTGCTACATCTTCTTGAAAGGCATAATAAATAAATATGCCCTTTAACTTAGCTTCAAATCACATTTATGTCCTTCAACTTTGGGTGTGCACAAGTAGACACTTAAACTTGTATAAAGTTGAACAAATAGACACACATATCCTACATGTCATTTTTTGTCCTACGTGTATTGTTCCACGTAGGACTCATGTTTCTACTTGTTCAAGTTTATACAAGTTTAAGTGTCTACTTATGCATACCCAAAGTTGAAGGGCATAAATATGAAATGAGGCCAAGTTTAAGGCCAATTTATGTATTATGCCTTCCTGAAATCCCAACTTTGCCTAAGCCTAAATTCCCTGAAATTCAAAAACCCGAGCTGCCAACTCTGCCAAAGCCCGAATTTCCAGAAATCACAAAGCCTAAACTTCCAACGTTGCCAAAACTCGAGATTCCTTCCATTCCTAATTATAAGCCTGAATTGCCAACTTTGCCAAAACCATAAATCCCACAAGTGCCTAAAAAGCCTTGAGCACGTGGCATATGAAATTTATCTTTCCCTTATTGAAGTAACATAGTTAAAATGTAACATTTCATTATGTAGTGTGACCATGTATGTTTGCCTAATATAATGTTCTTGTGTTTTGGAAGGATTATTTATGTGATTGATTATGTAGTTGTTCTGTCATCAGTTCACTAATATAATGTTCTTGTGTTTCTAGTGGTACAATACACACATCGTTTATGTTATTTGAAAACTTCAAATATTTGAGGTGGTTTTTACATTAGCTAATTTTGTAGTTCCCTATCACTACTAAAAAAACCTAAAATTGGCTATGGACAAATTCTGCAGCTAAATAATAAAATTTATCGTTGATCCTATTTAACAAAATTTTGTAGTTCCCTATAACTATTAACGTTCGATACTAATGTGTGTCCTCCGCACCCTCTTGTCTAGGGTCATATCATTGGTAACCTGAAGTTGCGTCAATTCTTTGTCCTATCACCTCTTCCCAGTACTACTTCGGTCAACCTCTACCTGTCCTTGTACCCTCAATAACCAACCTCTCACACCTCCTCACGGGTGCGTCTAATCAGTGGCGGAGCCACATGTAGTTAAGGGGTCTTGTCCGACACCCCTTCGTCGGAAAATTACATTGTGTAGCTAGAATAATTTTTTTTATGTATATATATTACATATTGACACTCCTTGACTTCTATACGATTTTATTTCTTTATATTTTGACACCTCCAGGCGAAATTCTAGCTCCATCACTGCGTCTAATCATCTCATCTTTACATCTCCAAACCATCTCAGTCTCGCTTTCCTCATCTTGTCTACCACAGATTGATCCTAGTAAGACCACACATCCACCTCAACATCCTCATCTCTGCTATAGGAATCTTATGGACATGGGAATTCTTGATTGGCCAACCTTCAGTCCCATAAAGCAATGTCGTTCGAATCACCAAAAAAAATATCCTTATTTGACCGGATTAAAAAGAGACTTTATAGAACTTACCTTTGAGTTTCAGCGGTACCTTCTTATCACACAAGAGTTTAGAGGCAAGTCTCCACTTCATCCACACCACACCAATACAATGTGTTAGCATCGTCGATGTCCCCACTCCTTGAACTATAAACCCTAAGATACCTAAATCTATCTCTCTTAAAGATAATTTAATTATGTAATTATTTTAAAATATAATTATATTTAGTAGAGATGATAGATGTTTCTATAGCTATAGTTAGTTTTTCCTTCTTTTTTATAGAAGAAAGTACGATAGGATATATATTTTTTATTTTTATACTATTTTTCTTCTTCAATCCCCTTTATAAAAAAAATGGTACAGTTGAAAGGAAAACACATACATTGACTAATTTCCAGCATAAAGAAAAAGAAAAGAATAAGAAAAGGGAAACTCTTATGCAATCCAAATAGTAGCTTTTATTTATATTATATAAGCAGAATTTTACAAAATAGAAATTACATATCCACTCTATTTATTTTTGTTACATATATATAGTAGATATTTCGAAGCACATTCATTAATAACACCACACATTATTCCAAGTACATATATTTATGTGTCACTTGATGTGGTGAGTCTCAATATCTTTAGTCATGTTGAGAGCAAATTCCATATATGTGTGTGGATCTGGCACATTTGCATTCTTCTTTTCATATTCAATAATCCAAGTAACTAAATTGTTTTCACCTTTTGTCTCAACATGAGTAGTGATGTAAAATGATTTGTAATACTCCAATATATCTCCTTCAATTATCTTTTTCTTAATCAACTTCTTTTCTTCATCTATTTCTTCAACTATTTCCTTTACCACCTTCTCTTTCCCATCTGCAAAAAAATATATATTAAAAAATAGTAAGATTCCATACTGCTAATTTCATTTTTGAATGATCGATGATTTGGATTGAATCTGAACAGGTTAAAAACGATTTGAATCAATATAAGTGTTGGATCAAATTAATGACCCTTGTATATACATAATTAGGTGTCTGTATGTCTCTAGTAATACAGACTCTTCCTTATATCTAGTAATAACTAGTACTTATTAGTACACAATAAGCTACTTTTATATTAAGAAGGTATTGGTTAAGTTTAGGGAAAAAGCATAAGTACCCCCAACTTATTCCCGAAAACTCAGAGACACGCTTATACTATACTAAGGTCCTATTAACCCCGTACTTATTTTATTAATAATTTTCTACCCCTTTTTGGCCTACGTGGCACTATCAACCAGATAGCTTGAAAAAATTGTCAACACGCGTTGGGCCCAGAAGATAATGCCACGTACGCCGAAAAGGGGTAGAAAATTATTTATAAAATAAGTTCGGGAGGATAATAGGACCTTAGTATAGTATAAGTGTGTCTCTGAGATTTCGGACATAGGTTGGGGGTACTTATGCATTTTCCCTTAAGTTTATAAATTGTTCAAACTAGTTCATAAGCATATTTTTTAAGCTTTATCATATAGTGGGCAAACACTAAAAGTGTTTATAAGACGAAATCAATCATAACTTGGTCATCTCTAATTTATGTTTTTACAGTTTATAAGCACTTTTAATTTAACAAATCATTTTACAATTTTACCTTTACTATCCTTTTGTACCCCCTAAAATGTTCTCCCTAAAACATAACTTTGAATTTCTCTTTGTTTTATTTCTGTCATTTGTCCTTTCTATTTGAAAATACTTTTAAATTAATTTTTTTTGTAAATAGATTTAACGACATTAATTCAGTCATTATATAATTAAAAAATATCAACAACATTTTACCAAATACATTATTTGTTTATTATCAATTTTAGCACCCTACGTGTAACCACTTATTTATAAAAGAAACTATGGCCCCCACCCCTCCACAAACACACCAAACACTATATCTCTTTTGAAAATTTTATGTTGAGATTAATTATAGACATGTTTTGTATTAGAATTAGAGAGGGGACCTTGTCCATGCCAATGCTAATTTTATCCAGAGCAATAGAAGAGGGATTGCCTATTGTGTGAGATATCATCCAATGCTTTGACTATAGAAACTCATTCATTAATGATGCAACTACTAGAAATTGAGCTTTCAGTGGCGACTAATCGCTACTGAAGCCCAAAAAGTCGAAATAAAATTATTTTAGTAGCGACTTGAGCGCCATGGCAACTGACAAGTAGTTCCATAACTAAATGTTATTTATGACAACTTTTTAAGAATGCCACTAGAAACTCCTATTGTGGTGATAATGGTTGCCACTAGAAATATTTATTCTACAAAAATAGTTCCAATAACTTAAATATTGGGTAGGTTGCCACTAAATATTGACTTAGCCCGAATTGTCACATTTACCTGAAATCCCAAATTTACCAAAGCTTGAATTCCCTGAAATTTTGAAACTTGAGCTGCCAACTCTGCCAAAGCCTAAATTGCCAGAATTCCCAAAGCCGGAGTTTCCACCATCTCCAAAGTTTGAACTTCAAATTTGCCAAAACTAGAGATTCCTGTCATTCCTAAGATTGAATTACCAACTTTATCAAAGCCAGAAATCCCTCAAGTGCCTAAAAAGCCCTGAGTGCGTGGCGTGTGAAATTTCTCTTCGCCTTATTGAAGTAACATTGATCATATGTGTTTCCCTTTGTTGTGATAAAATCATTTCCAGCTCTCTGTTTTGGAAGGATTATTTATGTAATTGTTATGCCATCAATTTACTAATATAAGGTGACTTTTACCTTAGCTAATTTTGTAGTTCCCTATCACTACCAAAAATAGGAAACTGTTGCAGGACAAATATATTCTTTAGTTAAATAGTAAAACTCAACGCTAATTCTATCTAGCTACGAATTATCAAAAAAAAAAATTATTGTTAATTACGAGTAATTTAGCGATCATGAATCATCTAGATTTTTGTAGTGTATTCATTTGCATTGAAATCTCTTATTGACTCTAGAATGTGATTCCCTAATTACTTATCCACTTTTCCTTTTGTAGTTGTCCTTAATTACTTGTCTATTTTGACAAATCAAGAAAGGACAATTGTTTTTTTACCTATTATACCCTCAATTAATTACTTTGAAAAAGGTAGAACTTTTTTTAAAATCTTAAATTTTTAATTCATCCACTTCATAGTTAATAGGGGTAAAATGGTAAACTTATATGTCAATAATTATAGATGTGTCAATTCAAAAATGGACAAGTAATTAGGGACAGAGGGAGTATTTCAATATGCAACATTGCTTATCATTTTAAAATTTTAAAACATTTTTTTTGTAAAAATTTACAATTGTCACGTCATTAAATAGGTACCAAATATAAGATTTTGGGGAATTATGACTATGGAAGCTAACTTAGCTAAGTTGAGTGACTTTTGAAAGACAAAACAAAGTTGAGAGACTCTTAAGGCCATTTGGGACATATGTAAGGATGTTTATTAAACATTCAATCACCTAAACAACATAATGTTAGATTAATTAGGTAATACTTGTTATACAAGTTAGATTAATTAGGAGGTTATTGTTGAGAAGATGAACTAACATAGTTTTTTCATACCAAACCACAACCAAAGACTAATTCTCCAATTTTTACTTTCACTATATAAACTTGTTTGAAGTGAAGTATAATGCATAATCAACAAAAGCATAAATTACAAGTCTTGAAGCATTTATCACCTTTATACAATGGCTTATAAGTATACCCCATCTATTTTCTTGTTATTATTTGTCACTTTGTTTATAACAAGTAGTTATGTGATTCAAGCACAAGCGCGCAATCTTCTTGATGTAACCATCCCTGAGCTTCCTAAGCCAGAATTGCCACATTTACCTGAAATCCCAACTTTGCCTAAGCTTGAATTCCCTGAAATTCCGAAACCTGAGTTGCCTACTCTACCAAAGCCCGAATTTCCAGAAATCCCAAAGCCGGAGTTTCCACCATTTCCAAAGGCTGAACTTCCAACGTTACCAAAACTCGAGATTCCTATCATTCCTAAGCCTGAATTGCCAACTTTGTCAAAGCCAGAAATCCCTCAAGTGCCCAAAAAGCCTTGAGCGCGACCGAAGCAGCATTGTTAAAAATGTATTGTGTTGTGTGATCATATATGTATTTCTTTGTTGTGCTATACAATCTGCCATTTGAAACTTTCCTTCGTATTTTTTTTTGTCATCACTTCATTAATGTACTTGTGATTCTAATGACATTATACATATCTCTCTGTTTCATTTGTTTGATTTTGACTTGACACAGACTTTACGAAAGTAAAGAAAACTTTTGAATATTGCGATATCAAATTAAAGATATGTAGAATGTATCAAAATATCTTTAATTCTGTAATCTTAAACATGCGTGTCAGGTGAAAGTTGAAACTAAAGAGTTAGCCAAAATAGGAAAAAGACATTGTTTTTTAAGTGGACAAAAGATGAAAGTAAGACAAACAAATTGAAATGGAATAGTTTTTCGTTCGTGAGCTGAGGCACCAATAAACATCAATATCACCAAATTTGCTATTAAAATATGAGACAGTTAAGAAAAAAGTTTATATTTGTCTGGTGGTTTGATTAAATTTGTTCTCCGATGAAATGACTAACTGTAATTTCAAGCCAAATATTGCAACAACGAGGACATTAATGACCACATTAATTTTACGAATGGAAAAATTAAACCCTTTTACATAATTTTAAAGCAAATCTAACCCTTTTCCATATAATATATTTCTCCCACTATGTGGAGGTAACTAAATTATTGAAATAAATTTCACATAATTAATGTAGCCAATTATGGTCATATGGTTCAATAATAAACTATAACAAAAATTCAATTTCACCATCTCTATGTATATTTCTAGCTAACACATATACCGTGTGTATTCTGAGAGACCTTAGCCACATGGTACACTAAGTTGCTCAGATTCGGGTGAGTCAGATAAGGATGTGGATTTAGAGGTTGGATTCTTCATAATTTAAATTTTAAAATTTGGGAGCATGGATTCAGGTGCAGAGATTCGACCAAAGACAATTCAAATATCTAAATTATGAGACATTATGTGGATTACTTACTAGGTTTTTTAGGAGAAAATATTGTTTATAAAGAGGAGAACTCCAAAAGTAGATAAAAGGAAAAGGACTAACATAGAAATTACTATATACAAGCTATTTCATTTTCTTCAATTTCACCTTAGTTTTTGTTTTGATTACATAAATCATAGGTATCTATCTTGAATTCCTCCATTGATTTTGGTCAAAATACTGAAAATTGGTTGACAAACTTTTGGTATGGATCCCATGCACATTCACACGGCCACACCTATGTTGTATCGACGTGAATAATGTGATACTGAAAGAGAAGAGTCCGAGCAACTTAGAGTGCATAACATAAGTCCCGTCAGCATGTTATCTTCTCTTTACTATTATACACAAGCTAGTTACGGTATGTCATTTTACTCAACAAAACCTTTCATAAGTGTTTGGTTTATTAGCATTTTATTAAAAATAATTTATTATATTGCACTAACAATAAGTGTTGACCTTGTAGGAATATTTAATTTATGAAGTTATTGTTGAGAAGATGAACTAACACACAATTTTTCCTACCAATCACAACCAAAGCCTAATTCTCCAATTTTTATTTTCCACAACCATACATCTATATAAATTTGTTTGAAGTGAAACATAATGCATAATCAACCAAATCATAAATTACTAGTCTTGAAGCATTTATCACCTTTCAACAATGGCTTATAATCACTACAACCCATCTTTTTTCTTGTTATTATTTGTCACTTTGTTTTTAACAAACAACTACATAAATCAAGCAGACGCGCGCCATCTTCTTGAAGTAACTTTGCCTGAGCTTCCTAAGCCTGAATTGCCACATTTACCTGAAATCCCAACTCTGCCTAAGCCTGAATTGCCTGAAATTTCAAAACCTGAGCTACCAACCCTATCAATCCCCGAATTGCCACATTTACCTGAAATCCCAACTTTGCCTAAGCCTGAATTTCCTGAAATCCCAAAACCCGAGCTACCAACTCTACCAAAGCCTGAATTTCCCAAAATCCCAACATTATCAAAGTCTGAACTTCCAACATTGCCAAAACTTGAGATGCACGTCATTCCTAAGCCTGAATCGCCAACTTTGCCAAGGCCAAAAATCCCTCGAGTGCCTAAAAAGCCTTGAGCACTTGTGTATGAAATCCTATTTGCTTCATTGAAGCAACAATATTGTTAAAATGTTAAGACTTAATTATGTTATGTGATCATATGTATGCTTTTTCTTTATTGTGCTAGAATCATTTGCAGCTTCGCTTTTGGAAGATATATATTTATGTGATTGTTCTATATATCATCACTTATTTGTGTTTCTTTTGGGGTTACATGTATATAATTTTTATACACTAAATCTTAGAAACTTTTTTGTAGTTTTTCTCATTCAAAGCACATATATAGAGTGCATAAAGCGTACTCGACATGCAACTTATTGAGAAAAGAAATGCCTCAACTTAATGAGTATAATATTTTAGACAAAAATAAACTTAACCAAAGTACGAAAAATTAACAGAGAGCCCTTCTTTTTTAAATCATATTTATCAACGACATTATTATGTGACTGTAATATAATGTCTCAATCGTCTCGTTCACGCAATAGGCATGGTCCAATAGATATTAGGCAAAGGAAATTAAGCAAGTAGATATAAATTGAAGAAGAAAGTTAAATAATTAAAAATATTTGCTTTAAATTAGCCAAAAAAGTCAAATAATTAAAATCTTTGCTTCTTCATCTTACTGTCAATAAGAATCGTACTCTTTTTTTTTTTAATTATTATTATTATTGACAACATAGCCACATTAATCATAGTTCACCTTACATGACTTATTAATCTTTTTACGGTTAATTAAGGTGTTAGCTCAAAAACTTATTTCTTCCTTCCGTCCATAGTATATGATATTTTATTATTTTTATAAGTTTGAGCATATTCTTTAAGAAAAAATCACTTCTAAAAATAAGAGGTGTTTTCATTAAATCATTCTCAATTAAATAGAACATAATTTAATATGGTTTGTTGATAAAGTAAAAACACTTATTTAAATTAAATAAAGGTAAATATTATTTAGAAAATATTCGACTTTCTTAATTATGTAAGAAATTATTTATTTTTGGACTAAATAAAAGTTTAAAATACTATATAATATAAATCGAAAATTTCATAAAGAGATCGAGATCTCGAATATTTCATAAACTCTTGGGTATTTTTAAAGATCAAGATCTCAAATATTTCACAAAGTCATGGAATACTCATAAATAGATTAAATCCAAATCATCTTAATTCGAGAAATATGCCACTAACGGTCCTTGAATTATGTAGATCAAGTCCAAATCATCATAGTTTGAGAAATACGTCACTAACGTCCCTCAAATTATGTAGATCAAGACCAAAGTATCCTAAGTCGAGAAATATGCCACAAACGGCCCTCAAATCATGGATATATATCTTATGAGAAAAGAATCAAGGGATCAACATAATTGTATCCACAATATTCATCAATAAAATTCACGTTTCTTCATAAAAAAATAAAAAAATAAAAAAAATAATAATAATAATAATAATAATAATAAAAATAAATATATATATATATATATATAAATCGAAAGGAGTAAGTGGACATTAAATGGTTCATCCTCCACTATGTACAACTTATATCATTAATAACGTGAAGATGATACAACAAATTGTAGTATCAAATCGAAAAGTTAAATCAAATTAACAAAAACATCCAACTAAATGTGATTTGGTTTGATTCGGTGGTAACATATATATGTCAAGAAATATTGCGATTTTCTCGTTGGATGCAATATTTAAAAGATATATATATATATATATATATATATATATATATATATATATATATATATATATATATTGCATCTGTGTTTTTATATATTTCAATAATATATAGAAAATTCTTATGCCTATTGTAGAAAATGGGGTTCCAGGATTACCTCTGCATGCTCCATCAGTATTGCACTTCACTTCATTCCTCAGTGGTGGCATTTTTTACGAGAGTAATCGAGACCCGTAAAGGAGAAGAGTCTATGGGGGCATATCTGCATATGGGAAAGTCGGGTTGATTGGTGTGTTCATTATATTCAAGCAACGATATAGAAGAAAACAAAATGTAGCTAGAGGCCCGAGGGCAGGAAAAATAGTCGAGTCGATTAGGATCGATCGGAAAGAAGCAAGGCTATGTATATCATGACCAATCACCATCGATAAAGAAAAAAAAATTAAAATGCGATTATATAAAAATAAATATACCTAATTACTTATAATTGTATTGTCATCATATTTCAATTGTCATGAGTATGTAAATATCATGATTAATTTATAACTAAACTAAAACGTACTTATAAGTTATACCCAATTGAATTAGCACCGCCACTATGTGATATAGATATGTGGTGGATAATATTTTTCATTGATTAGCTTCTTACATTAATTAAAATCTATATAAGCGGTACAAGTTTTATACATTTTCTTACCACTTTCCTTTCGCAACTCATTGCTATTACTAGGAAAAGAAAATATGGGCTTAAAAGGTAAGTTGATTGTTTCATTGGAAGTAAAGTGTGGATGACACTCGGTTTATGATATTTTCCACACTAATACCCATCATCTACCCAATATAAGCCCTAGCAGACTCAAACATTTCGAGATTCATGAAGGTGAAATTGGAAAAATTGGTTTGGTTGTTAGCTGGAAATATTATGAAGGTAACACACACATTTCTCTTCTCTCTTTCTCGCAATATTGTTTTCTTGCATCAATTTTATATATGTTTTATATTACGAAAGTCATTACTCGAGAAAATCTGTTAGTTCCATGAAAAAAGTTAGTTAATGGTGTTTGATTATCAGTAATATATTTTACTTTTAGGCAAAAGTCATTTTCCTCAATTAATACTATATTCTAAATGTTTAGATCTTTTATGAGGAGTTTAACATTTGAATTGGGAGTAACATCTTTTATATTTGATCTTAATGAATAGATGGAAAAGAAATGTTTTGTAAGATCGTGTGGTCGAAGCCATCGATCCTCCGAAGAATTCAATCACTTGGAAAGCGATTGAAGGACATCTTTTAGAGTTGTATAATTCTTTCACTATTATTATATCCTGTGAAGATTGGACTACAATTGCACTTGTGTACGAGAAGAAATCTGAAGATACCCCAGAACCTCTAGCTTTCTTGGATTATTTCGTTGGTCTCACCAAGGATGTTGAAAGTCACCTTCTCAAGAAATAGAAAATCTATCATGTTCAATGGTCCTATACATACATGGAGTCCGAGTCAAAAGGGCAAAACAAAATTGTCAAAAATTCCAAAATCGCACATCAATTTTTTTTAAAACCAAAAGGGCAAAATCGCTCCTGATGAAGCGATTTCCCTCTGACACAATAATTAAAATGGCTGCGATTTTAAGTCAGACTTTTTTTTTCCTTACACATCGCTGCATGGGCAGCGTTTTTCATGCCTATTGTTAATTATTAATAATATAAAAATGATAAACAAGACGGACAGTATACTCAATAAAATTGTTGATGCATATATATCATAAATTATAATAAAAGAATATTAAATTTTAAAAAAACTTTTTTTAAAAATTCTTACCCAAAATCGCTGACAAAAGTTGTCGTACGATTTTCAGGAGCAATTTTCTTCTGACAAAAGTTGTCGTACATTAAAAAAAATAAAAATCGCTGCTAAGATCGCTGCATTAGTAGCGATTTTCTCAAAAAAAAAATCTTTTTTTCTTGATTTTGGTTAAGAATTTTTAAAAGGAAAGTTTTTTTTAATTTAATATTCTTTTATTATTATTTATGATATATAATTCAATTTTCCTCATGCTTCAACAATTTTATTGAGTATATTGTCCGTCTTGTTTATCATTTTTATATTATTAATAATTAACAATAGGCATGAAAATAATAGCACTAGGCATGAAAAATGCTGTCCCTGCAGCGATGTGTAAGGAAAACAAAATTCTGACTTAAAATTGCAGCCATTTTAATTAAAAGAAAAAATTTTACAAAATCGCTGCTCTTTTTCGTTTTGTGTCAGAGGAAAATTGCTTCGTCAGGAGTGATTTTGCCCTTTTGATTTAAAAAAAATTGATGTGCCCTTTTGAAATTTTTGACAATTTTTTTTGCCCTTTTGGCTCCGGACTCTACATACATGTATCTATGTGCTTGTGTTTTTGTGTGTTATTTCTTGTGTGATGAGTATTTGAAAATAATGGCTAGTACTAGCTAGCGTGTAAAATAAATAATATTATGTTCGAATAATATATATGTATTATTATGTAAAATAAATAATATATATGTAATATAAATAAATAATATTATATACAGTTTTTTTTACTCTTAAGAACTTTGAATATTAGAGTAAGTAGAGCTACCTTTGCAGTAATTCCCATACATTGTAATCTCATATGACTACTAAATCTGATATTTTCTGACCCTATTGCTCGTTTTCGATCAAATAGCTCTTGTCAGTCCAATAACTGTTTGTGTAACCTTGATATTCATATTGGGCTGAACTTGGTTCATAGCAGTAATATATGACAATAACTAGGTACATAACATGAGAATTGTTTAATTTAATATTATTGTACATAAGCTAGTTATAATTAATTTTAAGGAAAGGAGTATCTACATACATAAAATATGCGCTAGAATATGTTACACAAGGAAATTTATTGTCAGATTAAATTAATTAGGAGGTTATTGTTGAGAAGATGAACTAACACAGAATTTTTCCTACCAAAGCCTAATTCTCAAATTTGTATTTCCACAACCACACATCTATATAAACTTGTTTGAGGTGAAACATAATGTATGATCAACCAATAAACATAAATTACTACTCTTGAAGCAGTTATCACCTTTCAACAAATATGACAGTTTATTACAACAACCCATCTTTTTTCTTGTTATTATTTGTCACTTTGTTTTTAACAAACAACAACATAATTTGTCACACCCCAAAACCAGATGTGATGGCACGTGCCCAAACCCCACCGGACACGTCAGCCTAACACCCAAAAACCCGACGATACAGAATTTATAAAACAAGAATAAGATAGAAAGATAAGCGGAAGTCTTTAAATAAACTCAACATAACCCCAGAATTGGTTGTCACATGTACAAACCTCTAATACGGAATCTGAATAAAATATACAAGTCTCATAGTAAAGTTCTAGAATAGAACAAAACAATAAATATAGATAACTTGAGGGCACGTCTGAAATGAACCGCTACCTCTCAAGTAAGTCTGGAAGCTCTAATCTGAAGATGAGTAATAAGT